TTGAGACAACAAATGCTTATTCTCTTTTCTATCACGTATAATACTTATGCCAAGTATCTGTTTTGCTAGTCTGAGATCTTTCATGGCAAAAGAGCTGCAAAATTTCTTTTTCAAAATGCAATATTGGAAATAACTTTCCCAAAATTGACATGTCATCAACATATAAGAATAAAATGATAAAATCACCGCTTATAAACCTTTTCACAAATACACAATGATTAGAACAGGTCTTATAGTACCTTTTCTCTTTCATGACTATTTCAAATTTCTTGTACCACTACCGTAGAGCTTGCTTCAAGCCATAAAGGCTTTTCTTCATTCGACACACATAGTCTTCTTTCCCTTTCACCTTGAACCCTTTAGGTTGCTCCATTTAAATTTTTTCCTTTAAAATCACCATGGAGAAATGCAATTTTTACATCTATCTGCTCAACCTTCAAATGAAGAGTAGTAGCCAAACCCAACACGGTTCTTATGGATGTGATCCTCACTACAGGTGAGAAAGTTTCATTAAAGTCAATCGCTTTCTTTGATTGAACCCTTTTACCACTAATCTGGCTTTATATCTTGGAGATGTAGAATTTGTTTCATGTTTCAACCTATAAATTCATCGATTCTTGAGAGTTTTCTTGCCCTTATGCAATTTCACTACGGCAAAGGTGTGGTTTTCATGTAGTGATTTCATTTCATCTTCCATAGTGTGCAACCATTCATCTTTATCTTCACACACTATGGCTTCTTGAAAACTCTCAGGCTCTACCTTGTGAGTCAAGGTCGCATATTCATCTAGAGAATATCTAGAAGATGGAGGTCTCTCCCCATTAGATCTTTTAAGAGGGACTTCAGGTGGATCTACAACCTCATATTGAGGTTCCTTAGATTAAATCTTACCATTCACACATAGAACATCGAGCACATCTCCATGTTGCTGATCATCAGCATTTTCAATCGGTGTCTCATGCTTGGAGATGGCTTTCACATACTTGAAATCAATCAACTCCAAGTTATCTATGGGATTAGCTCTCTTCACCCTATCATTATATTCAATGGTTTGGTTTTCCATGAATACCACATCACTGCTTCTAACCAGTTTCTTTTCCATTGGATCATACAATCTTTAAACAAACTCTTCACCACCATAGCCAAAATAATACACTGTTTGAGTCTTTGTATCATTCTTTGACTTCTCATCTTTTGAATATGCACAAATGCCTTGGAGCCGAATGCCCTCAAGTGCTCATAGGAAACATTCTTTCCAAACCACACTTTAACACAGACATGACCATCTAGGACAACAATAGAACTACGATTAATCACATGTGCCACAATGAACAGTGCCTCTCCCTAGAACATTCAAGGAAGTGTAGCTTTTGAAAGCAAGCTTTTAACTCTCTCAAGTAATGTTCTGTTCAGCCTTTCTGCCACACCATTGAACTAATGAGTCTTTGGAGGCATATTTTTTTGTCTAAAACCATGCCGCTTATAGCATCTATCAAAGGGTCTAATATACTCTCCCTCGTTGTGGGAACGAACACACTTCAACTTCTTTCCTAACTGTCTCTCTACGAATGCATGAAATTCCTTAAACTTTTCAAGCACTTGGTCTTTGGTCTTTAAAGCATAGACCCAAAGTTTTCTAGAATGATCATTGATGAATGTCACAAAGTAGTAAGCACCACCCCATGATCTTACATTCAAACGTCCACACACATCACAATGCACCAACTCAAGTAACTAAACACGTCTCAAAGGAGGATTCTTCTTGAAGGATATCATACTCTGTTTTCCAGCCAAACAATGAGAACACTTCTTTAACTCTGCATTCTTAAAACCAGGCATTACATCTTTCTAAGCCAAAAGATTCAACCCCTTCACACTAATATGATTGAGCCTACAATGCCACAAATGCAATGCTTCTGGACTTTCGGTGACATTCGCATTAGTATAGAGTATTGTTTCTAAGCGGTAAATCTTGGACATCAAGTTATACTTAAGCTTCCATTTTCCACCACTAAAATTATTTTCATAACCCTCATCATCAAGTTTATGGACAAAAATAATATTCAGGCGGACATCAAGAACATACCTAACATCTTTTAGATGAACCAAACTTAGTATCCATATGAGTCTCTAAGTAGATATTGCCAATACCAACAATATCTGCAATTGCATCATTGCCTATTTTCAATTTCCAAAATTGCTAGACTTTAAGGATGTGAAAAATTCTTTCCTCGGAGTCACATGCATTGTAGCACCACTATCAATAATCCAACTCTGTTCAACTAACACTGCATTTACAACAAGATCAACAGTAGAAACAAGGTCACCACCTTCATCCTTCCTCTCATGCATGCCTTTACCCTTGTTATCTGTTTTCCACTTGAAGCAACTTTTATTGATGTGTTCTATATTGTGACAATAATGACACGCAACGTTCTTATATCTAGACTTGGACTTGTTTTTTGATTTCCCCTACCTCTTTGATCTCTGTTAACATTTCTTCCTCTATGTTCTATAAACAACACCTTTGACTAAGACAAAGAACCTAGCATCTTCTTTCTCATCTCCTCATTAAGCATAGCTGGTTTCATAGTTTGCATTGATACAATACAATAAGGGGCAGAACTGATAATTGAGACCCTAAAGGTCTCCTAAATGTTAGGTAAAGTATTTAGTAACCAAAGAGTAGCAAATTCAGCATCCAGCTTTCTACCAACTCCAGATAACTGATCTAATATTCCATGAAAAGCATTCAAATGATATAGCGAAAGGAGTTCCTTCTTTATAAGACAAGTTCATCAAGGAATTTAATAAGTACACCCTATTGTTGCTACATTTGGATGCATAAATGTACTCAAGCTTTTCCCAAATTTCCTTGCATGTGTTTCATTTGTAATGAGGCCATAAACATTGTCACCAAAATAATTTCTAATAAAGCCACAAACTTGTCGGTGATCACGCTTCTGTTCCTCATCTCATTTTGATGCTAGCTTCTTGATAAAAAAACAAGCAAATCCATATTTTTCACATACAAGAGGTCTTCCATTTTGTTAGAATAATGGACCAACGCTAGAGGGGGTGAATAGTGTTTGCTCGAGAAATCGCAGGAATTAAAAATAAATAAAAGAGAAGTAAAGAGAAGAGTAAGAGGCACACCGATTTTACCCTGGTTCACCACAACTTGTGGCTAATCCAGCCTCCCGAGAGACTCTCTCGAGCTACACTACTATCTCGTTAAGCTTAACGGTGCTTAACAAACCCGTACAACTTGAGAGTTCTAGTCACACGAACCTCAACGAACCTTCGAAGGAAAAAACCCTTCCTTCGAACAACAAGAGAAGTATTTTCTCTTGTCAAGTGTCTAAGAACACTAAATCACTCAAGAACTATACTTTCTTTTAGAGTGGATAATGAGTAACTAAGAACGCTCAAGAACACAACACAAGCTTCACAAAAATGGCTCTCAAAAAGCTATGAATAAAGGATGAATGATTTGCAATGAAAGAGTAGGAGTTGTGAAGTAATGTTATATCTAAAACAGATCCAAACACCTCATTTTATAGTAGAAAAATAGGCTCCAACGGATCAAAACATTTAAGGGGTGATTGGCACAATTTGTGGGATTTTATTAAAATTGGATCTGCTGAAATTCACCGAGACAGCACTGTCCATGGCTTGGACATCGCTCTTCTAGGCTTGGATTTTGAAAATTGGGAAGCAACGGTCATGCCAACAGTGATGTCCAAAACCCCTACATCGCTGTTTTGGCTGTTGACTTCCAAACAAGGAAAGTTTTAGCCTTAAATTCCTTCCAACGACCAGGTGCCTACATCGATGTTCATTGCTTGAACATCGCTGTTTAGGCATGACTTTGAAAGTGAAAGAAATGGCCTGACATTGCTTTTGCTGGGTCAATAGCGCTGTCCAAAAACTTTCTACCAATGTATTTGGTTTTGGCTTAGGTTGGACAACGATGTAGGGTAGGCTACATCGCTGTTCCAGATGTTTCTAGAAACTCAACCTTGGCTCAACAGCGATGTCTAACATCCAACATCACTGTTGGAAGACTTAACGCCAAACCATGGTTTTCAGCTTCCCATGCCAGACATCGCTGTTGGGCTGGTTTAGCCAGACCCATGGTTGGTTTAGTCATGCCGTTAGCCGATGTCAAAAATGTAAGTTCTCCAAAATAAAAACCAAGTGTTGAAAATGTTTGTTTAAATCATTTTGCTAAGAAATCAAGTAAAGCATCTTAAAAACCACGTCATTTAATTGAAAACCACGGCTAGCCAAATTTACGCCGTTTCGCATGGTTTTCACTAAACGACCAAAAACGAAAGGTGGTTTTTGAAGCGTTTTTGTTGGAGAACTATTTAAATATGCCCAGAAAAAAAATCAATCATTAAAAGTTAAAAACCACTTGGTTGGTTCGGACACAAAAAACCAACGCCGATAACCGAAAGCCGAACGCCGGTTTCTGAAGACCTAACGCCCGATGGCTTGGTTTTTGGTTTGTGCGAGCTCCAAGTGTTTTTAGGCATGTTTAAAACCTAAGAAAAACATTTTTGAAAATGTAAAAAGTATTTTGATGAAAATGAGCCTAGAGAGCCAAGTTTTGAAAGTTTGTGCCGGTCTTGATCACATTAAGACCGACTCAATACAATTCTAAGTCTTCGTTCTTGATTCTTGGTTCTTTGTTCTCAAATCATCATGCCATGTTCCTTCGCCTTGGTTTTGCTCACTTTAACCTTGTTATTGTCACGGCGGTTTGGCATTATCAACCTGTCATAAAGCGAACACGGTTTAGTACGACATAGGCGTAAACCCGTGTTCCAACAATTTCCCCCATTTTGATAATGGCAAAAAAGACGGGGATATGCATACTAAGGGATATTTGATTTTGAAAAGTGTGAAAAAGTTCCCCCTTAATTTGTGCTTGAAAAACGAGTTGTCATATCTAAAATCAAACGATCCCGTTTTTAGAGACGTTCCCCCTTAGTGTATGCATAACCCTTTTCTTCCCCCTTTTGACATTAACAAAAAGATAAAAGATAATTTTATTGATTAAATTGGGAAATAACGGAGTACAACGGAAGCGATTAAAGAAAAACAGGACAATAATAAAAAAGAGATACAATTTTTAGGGGTGTCCTAGTCTTCGTCTTCGGTTTCCTCGTCGTCGTCGCTGTCGTCCATCTCATCCCCATCGATGGCATCGTCGAACTCATCTTCGCCCGGGGAGCTTGACGGGGCGTAGGAGGCATCGTATTCGTCCTCGTCACCATACATTTGCCCAAAGAACATGCCTTGGTACAGTGGGGGGACGTAGTTAACGCATTGGAAGTACGCGTTCATGGCGTACCCTTGGCGTTGGACCGCCTCGTCGAGCCTCTCAAGGTAACCATCCATCCCATCAACTTTGAAGTGAAGGCGGTTGAGGGAGTCGGCGATGGAGGCGAGGTTGGCTCGGGCCTGGGGTTCGGCTGGGCCAGCGGCAGTGGCAGTGCGGCGTGGCGCGGCAGTGGCAGGTGCGGCGTTGTCCGACCGCTTGGTGAAAGTTTGGGTGCTCATCGTCCAAAGCTTCGTGGCCTTTGTGAGCGGGCCAACAGTGGTGGTTACCTTGAACCGTTCAAGGATGTCCATCACCACGAACGGGTACGGGAGGAGGTGATCGTGGTCGGTGGACGCGGCGACCGTCATGTTGATCATGACAAACTTTTCCCAATTGATCGGGACCGTGTGCATGATCGCGTGGAGAAGCTTGAGGTCCTCACCGGACATGATCGTGTGCCCATGCTTCCGGGGCTTGATGATTCGGGACACGATGTAGAGAAGGAGCCGGCTCTCGGGGTTCGCGGAGTGGATGGTGGGACGGCCCGAGGCATGGCGGATGAGCTCGGTGATGCCAAGCTCGTTGAGGATAAGGCCCTCGTTGTTGAGCACTCAGTCCTCTCCGCCATAGTGGGAGACATCGTCGCCTTGGTAAGGGAGGCCGGCGATGCGCCCAAGCTGCTCAACGGAAAGCTCAATCGACGTGCTCTTGACAAGAGAGTAGAGCACGTCGTCCTCATGCCAGAGGTTGGAGTAGAAGGCCCGGATCAGCGCCAGGTTGATCTCCTTCCAAGCCTGGGAGACAAACGGCCAAAGGCCGGCTTGGTGAAGCTGCGCGTCTAGATCATCGTATCCCTGCAACTCCAGGAAGCGCTCCGGAACAATCCGCGGTGGAGCCACAACCCGTTTATAGAAGAAGGTGAGGAAACGGGTGCGCTCCTCCTCGGAATCGAACGAGAGATACGATCCGTCGCCGTAGTAGAGGCGCTCCTCGGAGTTTGTTGATGGTGCCCGAGATTTGGACTTGGATTTCCCGGAGGGGGCAGCCCTGCTCTTGTCTTTGCCCATGGTGAAGAAATCTCGAAAGAGAAGAGTAGAGAAGATGAAATATGCAAAGATATTGAAGGAAATTGTGTTTGTGTGTGTAAAAGTGAAGAGAGGGGGTCCCAATTTATAGAAAAAGAGGTTCCTAACGTTCAGAATTTCAAAAATATGGCTGTTAGAGCAATTAATGCAGCTGCCAACGGTTATTTTTTTTGAAAAAATCAAAGTGAACAGCGATGTTCTAAGGATGACATCGCTGTTGAGACAGCGCTGTTTTACGTTAAGTTTTAAAAATCAGGTGTGAAGTAGACAGCGATGTTGGGTATCCTACAGCGATGTTCCAAACGTTTCTGGAAATGTGTAAGGGTTTGCACCCATTAGAACAGCGTTGTTGGGTTTCCCTACATCGCTATTTTACGATAGGAAAAAAATTTGTAAAAAAAAGGACAACGATGTTGAAAAGAGGGACATCGCTGTTTGAAAAGTTTCTGATTTTTGGTTAAAAACAAGGTGTTTTGGAAACCAGCGATGTTGACAAAGGGACTGCGCTGTTGAAAAAGAACTTGGAAAGTATAAGGAAAAGGTACTCCCTGGGACAGCGATGTTGAAGTCATGTACATCGCTGTTAGCTCAAGCTGGTTGACAGTGTTTCCCTCAACAACGCTGTTGGGTCTCCTGGACAGCGTTGTTTGCATGGTTCCCCCTGATTTCATGAATGGGGTACTTGCAAAAAAGAAAAAGTTCTCCGACTCTCAAGTTAGTAAACGTTTAACAAGTTAAGATGCACAACTTAGATCATCGTGGAGTCAAGGATTCCGAGTTCACTTCGAATTCGGAAGAACGACTCTTTATCTAAAGGTTTTGTGAAAATGTCGGCTAATTGGTTGTGTGTTTCAACAAACTCAATTTTGACATCACCTTTGAGAACACGATCTCTAATGAAATGATGCCTAATGTCAATGTCTTTCGTCCTTGAATGAAGAACGGGGTTCTTCGTCAAGCTTATGGCGCTAGTATTATCACAACGAAGAGGAACGTGATTGATACTAAGGCCATAGTCCACTAAATGTTGCTTCATCCAAACGATTTGAGCACAACAACTACTGGCGGCTACATATTCTGCTTCGGTAGTGGATAACGCAACACTGACTTGTTTCTTACTAAACCATGAGACTAGAGAGCTACCAAGTAAGTGGCAAGTCCCACTCGTGCTTTTACGGTCCAATTTGCAACCAGCAAAGTCTGAGTCGGAATAACCAACAAGATGACACGAAGAGCCTTTTGGATACCACAGTCCAACGTTAACGGTGCCAACAAGGTATTTCATGATCCGTTTCACCGCCGTTAAATGCGATTCCTTCGGACATGATTGATACCTTGCGCAAAGGCATACACTAAACATGATATCCGGCCTACTAGCGGTAAGATAGAGAAGGGATCCGATCATACCTCGATATTTTTTGACTTCTACTTCCTTACCTTTCTCGTCTTTGTCAAGATGGTCAGACGTGCTCATCGGGGTCGCCATGGCTTTGGCGTTGTCCATTTCAAACCGTTTTAGGAGCTCCTTGCAATATTTAGCTTGGCAAATGAACGTGCCATCTTTCATTTGCTTGACTTCGAGTCCCAAAAAGAATGTGAGCTCGCCCATCATTTACATTTCGAATTCACTTGTCATTAACGTTGAGAATTCCTTGCACAAAGACTCGTTAGTAGCACCGAATATAATATCTTCTACATAAACTTGAACCAGAAGGATGTTATTGTTTTTACTCTTAATAAAAAGTGTAGTGTCAACCTTTCCCCTTTGGAAACCACTGTCCAAAAGAAATTTACTCAAACGTTCATACCAAGCATGGGGTGCTTGTTTAAGACCGTAGAGCGCTTTCTTGAGTTTGAAGACGTGGTCGGGATACTCAAAGTCTTCAAACCCCGGGGGCTGGTCAACGTACACTTCCTCTTGAATAAAACCATTGAGGAAGGCACTCTTAACATCCATTTGATAGAGTTTAAAATCCATAGACGAAGCAAAAGCAAGAAGTAAACGAATAGCTTCTAAACGTGCTACGGGTGCATAAGTTTCTTCGAAATCAATGCCTTCTTCTTGATTTTAGCCTTTAGCTACGAGCCTAGCTTTGTTTCTAGTGATTATTCCATTTTCACCAAGTTTGTTACGGAACACCCATTTCGTATCGATAATCGTACGATCATCGGGCCTTGGCACCAATTCCCAAACGTCATTTCGTTTGAATTGGTTTAGCTCCTCTTGCATAGCCAAGGTCCAATGTTCATCGTTTATTGCTTCGGAAATGGTTGTAGGTTCAATTTGAGAAACAAAAGCCATGTGTCCTACGGTGTCCCTAAGTGAGTTACGAGTACTTACCTCGCGGTTGATGCTGTCGATTACCTGGTCAAGTGGATGGTTCTTGTTCGTTCTCTAAGAGATGGGAAGCTTGGTTTCCTCTTGTTCCTGGGCTTCCTCGTGTTCTTCTTCGTCCGCTTGATCCTCATTTTCGACCATCACTTGTGGTGTTTCCTCAGGTTGTGGTTGCGGGTTGGTGTATAATGGTGTGTCTTCCTCATCGTCTTCAATGTGTATTCTTTCAAGTGAATCTGCAAAATCATCACAAATAGCCTTTCTCGCCAAGCGAGTATTATCTTTGGAAAACACAACATGAGGGGACTCATTTAATAATTAAGGTGCGTTTATTAAACACTCTATAGGCCTTGCTACGAAGTGAGTAACCGAGAAAAATCCCTTCATCCGACTTGGCATCAAATTTTCCCAAGTTATCTTTTCCGTTATTATGAACAAAACATTTGCAACCAAAGACTCGAAGATGGGAAAGGTTTGGCTTTCTCCCTTTGTATAATTCATAGGGCGTTTTCATGAGTATCAGTCGAATGACGGCTCGGTTTAACACGTAGCTCGCGGTACTCACGGCATCCACTCAAAAATACTTAGGGATTTTTGCCTCATTGATCATAGTTCTAGCCATCTCTTCGAGACATTTATTTTTACGTTCCACCACTCCATTTTGTTGTGGTGTACGTGGGGCTGAGAAGTTATGATCAACGCCAAGTTCGTCACACAAATCTGAAAATAGATTTCGTTCGAACTCTCCCCCATGGTCGCTTCTTATGGCTACTATGGTTGTGTCTTTTTCATTTTGAACTTTCTTTAGAAAATTTTTGAAAACATGAAATGCCTCACTTTTATGAGTAAGAAACAAGGTCCATGTAAACCTAGAGTAGACATCGACAATCACAAACACAAAGTAATTACCACCAAAACTTTTTGTTCTAGAAGGACTAAAGAGATCCATGTGCAAAAGTTGAAGCGGTCTAGACGTTGAAACAACGTTTTTAGACTTAAACGAAGCCCGAACTTGCTTCCCCTTTTGACATGCATCACAAATGGTGTCTTTTTCAAACTTAAGTTTTGGAATGCCAATTACTAAGTTTTGTGAAACCAATTTGTTCAAAAGGTTCATGTTCATATGAGCTACCCTTCGGTGCCATAACCAAGTGTCTTCCTCCTTACTCATGAGGCACTTAGCAAAGCCGGAAGGTGATTTGTCTAAGTTAACCATGTAAATGTTATCGATTCTATCACCACGTAGAATAACCTTATTGTCACTAAGGCATTCTACCGTGCATGATTTTGAATCGAAGGTCACACGATTTCCCTTGTCGCATAATTGACTTATGCTCAAGAGATTGTGTTTAAGACCTGTAACTAGCAAGACATTATCTATAGAGGAGTTTTCAGATTTACCTACCGAACCAATGCTGATAATCTTTCCCTTGCTATTGTCTCCAAAAATTATGTTTCCTCCTTTAGCGGGTTTGATTTGTAGAAACTTGGATGCATCCCCGGTCATGTGCTTGGAGCATCCGCTATCAAGGTACCAAAGTACACTTGATGCCTTCAAGCACACCTATGAAACACATCAATGAGTTTTAGGTACCCAATTTACGTTGGGTCCTCGTGTGTTAGGTGTGTGATGGTAGTGTGCTTGATTTTGTGATAGATGCATATGCCAAGTGTAACAAACAGGAGCAATATGGCCTATCCTATTGCAATAATGGCAAACTACGTTGGGGTTATACATGTGCCTAGGTTTATAATAGTTAGAGGGTTTAACCATTTTGTTCCTATTTTGTGAAAAAGATGGTATTTGAAAGTTTTGAAATTGATCTCTTCTAGGTACTCTAACATTATTTCTTCTATCTTGAGAAAAGTTGGTTTTATGCACAAAATCATTTTTCTTAGGTTGTCTACCATGGACATTTTCATTCCTAGGTTTTAGTCTAGGTTGTCTAGTGTCCTTAGGTTGACTAGGTTTTCTATTATCCTGATTTTTAGGTTTCTTACGTTGAGCCTTAGATGATTGTCTAGTTGGTGGCTCAACGTTTTCTTTAACCTTACCTTCATTTTTATTAAAACCTATTCCTTCCTTAGAAAAATGCATAGTGTCCAGAAGCAAATTTAAATCTTTGTGAGGAGTATTAAATTTCTTGACCGTGCTCTGAAGTTTAGTGACTTGTTTTTTAAAGCTTTACAAGATTCACATTCACTTGAGGAACTTTCCGATTTGTCAGCGCTTCTTTTTCCAAAAAATTTGTTTTCTTGTTTTAATTTTTCATTGTCTTTTTCCAATTTTTCAAAATCGTTTTCAAGTGTAGAAAGACGTTTCTTTAAAGATTTATTTGTTTTGGAAGCGCTAACAAATTCTTCATAAAGTTCATGAAGTGCTTCTTGCATTTCTTCAAAAGTATAAGAGTCGGAAGAAATAGTACATACCTTTTGGACGTCGTCGTTTTAATCTTCGTGCGCCATGAGGCAAAGATTTGCAGCTTCGTCCTCCTCTTGGTCAGTTGATTCATCGCCAGAATCGCCAGCCCAAGAGATGTAAGCCCTTTGCTTCTTGAAACCGGGCTTGTCCTTGTCGTGCTTGGCTTTTGGACACCTTGGCTTGATGTGGCCAATCTCACCACAGCCGTAGCACTTGGGAGGACCGTCGTGCTTTCTTCCCTTCCGCTCGAACTCCTTCTTCATGAACTTGTGAAACTTCTTGATGACGAGTCCAAACTCGTTGTCGTCATCGCTTGAAACTTCTTCCATCGTTTCCCTGGTTGCTTTAAGTGTTATACCTTTCTTCTTTTGTTTATCCAAAGACGGGGTTAGAATAGTGGATTCATAAGTTTTGAGATTACCTTTTAACCCGTCGATAGTGACATTGGAAACTCCAATGGATTTGTAGATTGCATCGGCCTTTGATCTCCATTCGGGTGTGAGACTCCGCAGGATTTTCCTCACGAGATCCTTGTTGGCGTAGGTCTTTTTGAGGGCATGAAGGTCGTTGATGATCTTGGAGAACCGATCGAACATGTCATCGATCTTTTCGCCTTCCTTCATCCTAAACATCTCGTACTCCTGTGTTAGGAAGTCAATTTTGGCTTCCCGAACTTGGTCCGTACCTTCGTATGTGACCTCCAGCTTGTCCCACATTTCTTTGGCAGTGGTGCAGCAAGAGATCTTGCGATAATCATCGGGGTTGACCGTGCAGTACAGCATGTTGATTGCTTTGGCGTAGTTCTCCACCTTTTTGATGTCTTCGGCATCAAATTCGTCCTCGATCAAGTGTCTAAGAACACTAAATCACTCAAGAACTATACTCTCTTTTAGAGTGGATAATGAGTAACTAAGAACGCTCAAGAACACAACACAAGCTTCACAAAAATGGCTCTCAAAAAGCTATGAATAAAGGATGAATGATTTGCAATGAAAGAATAGGAGTTGTGAAGTAATGTGATGTGTAAAACAGACCCAAACACCCCATTTTATAGTGCCAAAATAGGCTCCAACGGATCAAAACATTTAAGGGGTGATTGGCACAATTTGTGGGATTTGATTAAAATTGGATCTGCTGAAATTCACCCAGACACCGCTGTCCATGGCTTGGACATCGCTATTCTAGGCTTGGTTTTTGAAAATTGGGAAGCAACGGTCATGCCAACAGCGATGTCCAAAATCCCTACATCGTTGTTTTGGCTGTTGACTTCCAAACAAGGAAAGTTTTAGCCTTAAATTCCTTCCAACGGTCAGGTGCCTACATTGATATTCATTGCTTGAACATCGTTGTTTAGGCCTGACTTTGAAAGTGAAAGAAATGGCCTGACATCGCTGTTGCTGGGTCAACAGCGCTGTCCAAAAACTTTCTGCCAATGTATTTGGTTTTGGCTTAGGTTGGATAGCGATGTAGGGTAGGCTACATCGCTATTCCAGATGTTTCTAGAAACCCAACCTTGGCTCAACAGCGATGTCTAACATCCAACATTGTTGTTGGAAGACTTAACGCCAAACCATGGTTTTCAGCTTCCCATGCCAGACAGCGCTGTTGGTTACACCAACATCGCTGTTGGGCTGGTTTAGGCAGACCCATGGTTGGTTTAGTCATGCCGTTAACCGATGTCAAAAATGTAAGTTCTCCAAAATAAAAACCAAGTGTTGAAAATGTTTTTTTAAAGCATTTTGCTAAGAAATAAAGTAAAGCATCTTAAAAACCACGTCATTTAATTGAAAACCACGGCTAGCCAAATTTACGCCGTTTCGCATGGTTTTCACTAAACGACCAAAAACGAAAGGTGGTTTTTGAAGCGTTTTTGTTGGAGAACTATTTAAATATGCCCAGAAAAAAAATCAATCATTAAAAGTTAAAAACCACTTGGTTGGTTCGGACACAAAAAACCAACGCCGATAACCGAAAGCCGAACGCCGGTTTCTGAAGACCTAACGCCCGATGGCTTGGTTTTTGGTTTGTGCGAGCTCCAAGTGTTTTTAGGCATGTTTAAAACCTAAGAAAAACATTTTTGAAAATGTAAAAAGTATTTTGATGAAAATGAGCCTAGAGAGCCAAGTTTTGAAAGTTTGTGCCGGTCTTGATCACATTAAGACCGACTCAATACAATTCTAAGTCTTCGTTCTTGATTCTTGGTTCTTGGTTCTCAAATCATCATGCCATGTTCCTTCGCCTTGGTTTTGCTCACTTTAACCTTGTTATTGTCACGGCGGTTTGGCATTATCAAAACCTGTCATAAAGCGAACACGGTTTAGTACGACATAGGCGTAAACCCGTGTTCCAACACATTTTCCATTCCATAAATGATAATTTGTTCCATCCAAACTAGTCATTCGACTCTTATTTGTTTCCATCACTCAAGCAAGTAGATAGCACACTAACACTACAATAACTGAACCTGAAGCTTCGATACCACTCTGATGGGAATTTAGCAACAAACCTAGCCACACTAAACAAAAATTCCCCACTTGCAATAGTAAGAGGATAAAAAACAACAGCAAGATGACAACAAATAAACAAAAACAATAAAGAGACAATGCACAAGAGTTTTTACGTGGAAAACCCCTCTAATCAATGGTTAAAACTACGGGTCACAAAGACCACCAAGCAAGCTCCACTATGACCTGAAATAAGGTAAAAGAGTGTCTCATACAAGGCTCAAATAAGTATAAACATTCTGCCCTAACAAAGGGAGCAAAGGACTCAAGAATATGCAGAAAATTGCATAACATACGTCCTCTTTTCGGGTTCGAATATCTCTTCCTAGAGAGCTTCAAATCAAAAATTGACCGTTGGAAATCAAGTTCAATGTGTTGCAAACATGCTCCTACAATTTCAGAACAATAAGACACCATTTGACCATGTCAACGTCAGTTCAAAGAACGCTGCACGCCAAAATCTAAAATGAAATAGCTTCCTTCTCTCTCAATTTTTCTGCTATGCTCTCTCTCATTTTTCTCTCTGTCAATCAACCCAAATGAACTCCTACTGCTTTCTTCATTAAACCATGGACTTGTTTAGTGTTGGGATTTACTTGGGCCTCCACATAAGAAGTGAGCCCAAAACCAAACACACTTAAGGTTCCTCGATGTTGTTAATTAACACCACGTTTGCTTCAAGGATTTTGAAAACGAAAAGAAAGGAAAATGAGATGAAAAATTACTAAGAGGAAAAGAAAAGAAAAGAAAAGGAGAAGGAAAAGATAACAAAAAGGCAAAAAGTACTAAGAGGAGGAAAACCCAAATCCTCCCATTTTTTGTGAGGAAAATGAGAGAATCATTTTCTTTTCTTTTTTCTTCCAAATTTTCCTTAGACCAAACATAGTGTAAAGGATTTAAGGTGAGGGAAGTCATGCACAATTCAAATTTGGTATAAATCGCGGATCACTCGAGTACTTGATCCCTCTATTTAAAAAGGCGATCTGCACTCTCCAAGCTAAGACTATATTACTCATGAGTCATGCAGATTGTTTGATGTAGTTTTATAAATGCTTAGATGTAGGTTTTATATATTTAATTTTAGAGTAAATTCCATAAAAGGTCTCCAGTTATAGGTCGTTTTACATATTTAGTCCCTACATGTAAAACAACCTATAACTGGGTATCTTTTATGGAATTTACTCTTAATTTTATTAATTTTATTTATGTAGAAATTTTAAAATAAATTAAATAAAAAGTAACTTAAAGTAAATAAATTAAATCAAACTTCTCCATTTATTTTGTAAGGGAGGGAGTAATAAACTATGGGAAAATGCTTATAACATAAAACTCTCCCATTCGCTTAATAGCATATCCCTAATGCAATTGGAAATTTGAAAATGTTGAATGAACAATGGTTGATGGTATTAAAAATGCCTGGAGTTGTTGGGAAATGCTTAAAGAGCATCTCAAACCACCAAAGAGAAAGTTGTTGCCGATCGGTTTATGCTTTTGAAGCAAAAGTGTCAAATTTTAATCATATGATCTTTGCGTTTAATTGTTACAAACAAGTTTTCATTTTAAGAATTTAAAGCATTCACTTTACTAATCTACGTACGTACCTCAAAAATTGGTTAGATGTTGGTTTCGTTCATGAGTGGACCTTGGGACGCATTGTTCGGTGGAGGGAATTTGCCTGCGTTTCTAGTAGGAGCAGTGTCAGCCGCCACAAGTGGGATACTTATTATTACACTGCTTCCTTCTCCCTCTCCTGATGACAAATAATAACTACGGAGTATAACACAATACATGTGGTTATATTATAACTTTTATATATATATATATATATATATATATATATATATATATATATATATATGGTGTGTACTCTATCTCTTTTACATGATTGTTTCGATATTCTTTTAATATGGTGTCTTGTACCCGGAGTATTTTGTAACTAAGTAAATGTTATACTCCCTCCGTCCCAAAAAGATTTACACGTTTCAAAAAAATTGTGTCTCACAATCCCTTACCCATTTCTATTAAAAAACCACTTTTACCCTTACTTTTTCAAACCCTACCTATCACATCATACATTTTTCTTATAATCTACACATCACATCATACTTTTACCCATCACATCAAGGGTATTTTTGGAAAGTCAACACAAAATTATCCCTCCCTTAATTTCAACTTTAGTCAAAATGGGTAACACTTTATGGGACGGAGGAAGTAGTTAATTTGGTCATTTTATGAATCGTATTTTTTTGAGTAACAGTTACACGTACGTACCTTGTTAATTTGTACTCCCTCCGTCCCTAAATAAACTTCTGTTTTTGACTTTTTGAGGATTTAAGGGAGGGATATTTTTGTGTTGACTTTCCAAAAATACCCTTGATGTGATGTGTAAAAGTAAGATGTGATATGTAGATTATTAGTAAAAAGGTATGATGTGATAGGTAGGGTATGAAAAAATAAGGGATAAAAGGGGTTTATTAAGAGAAAAGAGAAGTTTATTTGGGGACAGAGAAGAATTACATCACCTTACATCAGTATTTTACGTGTATGTGAACATGGGTTGATAAAAGTGAAATTTGTACTAAATAGTACCAAAATATACTCCCTCTGTTTCCAAAAATACTTCCTCTTTAATTTTTTTAATTTCCAACAAAACACTTCCCCTTTCTATTAAAAAACCACTTTTACCCTTACTTTTTCATACCCTACCTATCACATCATACTTTTTCTCTAATAATAAATCCATCACATCTTACTTTTACCCATCACATCAGGGGCAAAATTGGAAGTCTACTATAATTTTACACTTATTTATTTTGCCTTATAGTCAAAGTGGGAAGGTTTTTTCCAAACGGAGGGAGTATGTCATTTTCAAATATAGTATTTATATTTTTTTATTTCCTAAAAGTACTTGAATAACATCCAATAATGATGGAATAATGTACAATGATGCTGGACTTCTAGTTTTAACAATGTCTAATGGCGGTGGACAATTATTTGAACAATGAACAGTGGCACTACATTGGGAAATAAAAATATATAGTACTACATTAGAAAAATCGGTATGTTTTTAACTATTTAGGTCAACTCCCCTAAATAGTATAAGGGTGGTATTTCTAATTTAAAGCAAAAGTTATTAGTGGTATTATTTTCAATGAGTTGTGTGAGTTAATTACTCGGTATCTACCAAGTGGATAAATCATTATATTTCCATACTAGAAGGTTGCAGCCTTAGCTTGCATGTAGATGGGGCAATTGGATCAATTGGATCGGTTCTGATTTGGAATAATTCGGTTTGAATATCTTTCGAATATATGTTGTAATTGTTCGGTTTAGATAAGTTCGGTTTAATTTCGATTCGATTGAATTTCAATTTCGTTAATTGGTTTAGATCGTTTTCAGTTTTAGATACACTCCGGTTCAGATATATTTCGATTTGGATATATTTTGATTCCTGTATATTTTGGTTTTGGATATATTTCCATATATTTTATTTTTCAATTAAATTAACTTTTTTTTCATTTTTTCATATCGCATTTATCACTTTATCATCAATTCATCACTTCATAATAAATAGAAATCCGAGATCTTTTCATTGTTGGAAAAAGACATAAATAGAAATAAAACACGAAGAAAGAACCAAAATAGGACTTCAATAATTTTAACCCCCAAATATGACTAAAATTAATTAAAAATTTAAGTGAAATTTGCACGGAATAGGACTAAAACATAAGTCATTTCTCAATGTAGGACTTAAATTTTTTTATTCTCTAAATAGGACTTAATAATGACTTGTGAGAAGAACAATGTCCAAGTGATGCTGGACATTTAGTTGAATAATGACTAATAGATTTCAATGGTCCTACATTGGAAAATAAAAAACATATGGTCCTATATTGAAAAAGTCATTATGTTTTATTCCTATTTAGGTAAATTACCCAAAATTTAAACCACATAATCTAATCCCCACGCACCAAACTCAATTGGCAATACGGAATAGACAAAAAAATCTTGGAATGAATCGAAAACCATTGGTTGCTAACCGTAGCTTACTGCCAATGCCAACACCTCTACCAACGCTGCCATCGCCAGGACCACCTGCCGCCATCACCGTTGCCCACAGCCACTGTGTCTCTATTACATGTCACTGTAACTTCAATCTCCGCCGCTAGCCTACTCCGCCCCACTGTGATGATGTGCCCGCGCTGCCAAAATCCACCATTTTTGTTATTGATTTTTCACCATCATCGACGAAAACATCGCTCTCGTTTCATAATATGACATACTTTTGTACACAATGCCATAGTTTCCAATATAAAATGACACAAATTATCATGTAGTCATATACAACGTCATAGTTTCCCATATACAGTGCCATAGTTTGTCATGTAGTGATATACAATGCGATAGTTCTTCATATACAATACCATAGTGCCAAACTTGTTCTATATTGTCAATCTCCATTATCCTTTCTAATGTTGAAGCTAACACATCACAACATTTACTTCTTGGTGCTAGCAACTACGCCATTAACAAGGGTGATTTCTTCTCATTCTTTCCCTTGTAAGCCAAAGGGAGGAGAGGATGGGCCGTGGGTGTTTTGGCAACCACGTCGGACTGGGATGTGGAGGGAATACCACTCCTCTCCCGTGACCGTGATGGGTATGACCACCATCATGGCCATCATGCATCCTTGTCCCTTTTTGTTTTGCTTTCAATTCATTTCTTCTTTGCTGTTTCTCCTTTTGTTCTTTCTTTTTTTCTCTTTCTGCTCTCGTTTCCTTCTTTTTCTCTTTCTTTCTTTTTTCACTTTTTTTTTTACTTTTGAACCTTTTTTGACTTTTCATTTTAGTTTTTAAATTAAATATTAAAAATATAAGCAAAATAAAATCAATGAATGTTTTAATTTCAGTATGTACTTTCATTTTTTATTATCTAATTTTATATTTAATCTTGATGATGAATAATTTTTCAATATACATTTAAATTTTTTGTGTATGTACTTTTAAATTTAAATATCTGCCTTTTTAACCGCACTTTGTTATATACTCTATATTTAAATTCAATGTGAATGAAATACTTATTCTATTTTTTAGTCTAAATAATTTTGATTAAAATAGGTAAGAAATAAATGTAAATAAGAAAATTAAAATAAGGGACGAGCGTGATCCACACTCTCTGATTGGAAGGAAGGGATTAGCATGATGGTGTAGTAATTCACACCGCACAGCCTGATAACCTCACTCGATTTCCAAAGTTTTTCCTTGTGAAGTCATGAAAAAATATATTCTCTGTCAGTCTTAAGATTAGTAAAAGAATCTATACAACTTCCTTAAATAATTTATTATTGTCAAGATTAACTCCCTCATCTTATAGACAAATTCTTATGTGGTCTTAATGTCATCTTACTACATAATATGTTAATAAAGGAAATCAACATGGTATCGGAGCTTTGATGACCAAGAAGTTGTGAGCTCGAAAACTCATCGCCACCCAGTTTTAAAAAAAATAAAGTTTGACGTGCAAGGCTGAAAGAAGTCACGCCTGCACGTGACTACGTGAGGGGACTCCAAGACGCATGCAGAGCACGCGGAGCATCTGTGCACGGTACATAGAATTCTATGGGAACAGCAACTCTATGCCAAATTATCCAAGTGCGAGTTATGGTTGCACGAGGTCACCTTCCTTGCCCACGTCCTCTCGCCTGAAGTAGTGAAGGTGGACCCATGTAAAATTTTGGCGATTACGGAGTGGAAGACTCTGCGTAATGCACGAGAGGTGAGGAGTTTTCTCGGGTTGGAAGGATACTATCGCCGATTCATGAAGGACTTCTCGAAGATAGCTTCGCCTTTGCACAAGTTGATGAAGAAAGATGTGAAGTTTGAGTGGACCGACACTTGTCAGTAGAGCATTGAGCAGCTGAAGCAGTGCTTGACCCAGGAACCCGTGCTAATACAGCCGACTCTAGGCGTGGAGTACACGGTTTATAGCGACGCCTCTCATATTAGCCTGGGTTGTGTTCTCATGCAGGAGGGTAAGGTTGTAGCGTATGCATCTCGGCAGTTGAAGCCGCATGAGTGTAACTACCCCACACATGACCTAGAGTTGGCGGCGATCGTTCTTGCTCTAAAGATTTGGAGGCATTATTTGTACGGCGAGACGACGCGCATCTTCACGGACCATAAGAGTCTGCAGTATCTTCCGATCAGAAGGATCTGAACCTACGAGAAAGGAGATGGTTGGAGTTGATTAAGGACTACGACTGTCACATCCCTTACAACCCAGGTAAAGCGAATATGGTGGCCGATGCCCTTACTCGCAAGACCCTGACTGTACTTCGAGTTCAGCCTACATTATTCCAAGAGATTGTGACAGCACAGCACGTAGACGACTATTGCAAGCAAATTAGTGAGCTCGCTTCTCAAGGTGAAAAACCTGACTTCCCCATACGAGAGGATGGCACTTGGTTCTATCGGGGTTGTGTGGTGGTTCCAACAGGGGAGGTGAGGGAACGTATCCTTCGTGAAGCACACGGGACAGTATACACCATGCACCTAGGTAGTAACAAGATGTTCCACCTCACATAGTGGATCTAAATCAATCAGCTTTTATCAAGGGGAGAGAGCTGCTGCATAATGTTCTGCTATGTCAGGAAATGGCAAAAGGGTACAACAGGAAAGGGATATCACCTCGGTGTATGATGAAGTTGGATATCCAAAAAACATATGATTCTGTGAGTTGGAAAGCAATAAAGGAAATCCTAGTATGCATGAAATTCCCAAAAAGATTTATCAAATGGATCATGTTCTGCATATCCACCCCAACATATATGCTAAATGTCAATGGAGAATATCATGGATACTTTAGAGGTGGAAAAGGTCAGAGATAGGGTGATCCAATATCCCCTCTAATCTTTGTGTTGGTCATGGAGTATCTAACAAGAAGCTTAAGGATGGCTGCACAAAAAAAAGAAATTTTCCTTCCATCCCATGTGTGCCAGTCAGAGACTCATAAATTTAACATTTGCAGATGACTTGATTGTGGTCTGTAAGGCAGATGCAAACTCAATTAAGTGTGTAAACAGAGTACTGGAGAATTTTCATAGTTCTATTGGCTTGATTATTAATAAGTCAAAGTCCCATGCAGTATTTGGAGGTATCAATCAAGATAGTCAAAAGGATCTTCTAGGGATTTTAGATATCAAACTTGGTAAATTCCCATTTACATATTTGGGAAGCCCAATCACCACTGCTAGATTGAAGAATCAGGACTGTGATGCTCTGATCAACTAGTTGACCTCTAAGATTACAGCTTGGGGTTCTAGGCACTTTTCCTATGCTGCAAGGGTCAGATTAAATAATTCAGTTTTGTTGGGGGTGGTAAATTTCTGGACTAGAATTTTCATCCTTCCTAAAGGGGTTATGAAAAGAGTTATGACCTTATGTAGAAATTTATTATGGGGTGGGGGACTGTGAATAAAAGATAACCCCTTTAGTCCACTGGGATGATGTCGGTAAAATGAAGAAACATAGAGGGCTAGGGATTAAAAATGTGCTGAATTGGAACTATGCTACCATCATGAGCTTAAACTGGGATATTGCTGAAAAAAATGATGTGTTATGGGTAAAGTGGATACACACTAAATACATTAAAGGAGGTGATGTGTGGAATTATATGCCCAAACCAATTCCTGCAACTATTGGAAGGAAATGATTAAGGTATGAAAGAAGTTCTCAAATATTCCTCACAACAAACCATATGAGGATTAGCAGTGGGTATAAATGGCTACAAGGGGAGCACACTATCCCATTCTGGAGGGAGTGGGTATGGAACAAGTTAACACCACCTAAAGCTCAAATCATTGTTTGGCTTCTATGGAGGGGAAGATTGCAAACTAAGGACAGATTGATCAGATTTATGGAAATCAACTTTAGTTGTGTGCTGTGTGAGGAGGATCCTACGCACACCTTAAGAGGCACGACATTGAGTACGTGGTTGGGGAAAAAGTCTTCTTGAAAGTCTCCCCTTGGAAGAAGGTCCTACGCTTTGGTAAAAAGGGGAAACTTAGCCCGAGGTTCATAGGCCCATACCCGATAACTCAACGTGTGGGACCCATAGCCTACAGGCTTGAGCTACCACCTGAGCTGTGTAACATCCACAACGTGTTCCATGCGTCCCCTCCTTGTGTCCATGCGCGTACCGTTCAGGTCATATTTTACAAAACAGAGTGGGATTTAGGGAGGTAACCCCCTCCCCCATTTAATTCCCCATGCCACACCCACACATTCGTTCGTTCCATTTTCCCGCTCGTCAACCCCTTCCTTCTAGAGATGAGTACGTTTCCCTTTAGCTTTAGAATCCGTAGTATATTACATATTTTTATATTCACAGGATTACCTGGCTAAACCTACGTGAATCCGCATGATTATGGTTTTATCTTTATTAAGATTTTTGGGTATAAAATTCGTGAAGAAATCACCTAGAAACCTGTTGAAATCATAAATTGCTACACGTAGAATCTTAAAACGATTATTTCAACTTCCAAAGTATTGGTTATAAATGGGCAGACAAAAACAAAAAGCCGCATGCTCTGATAATCGATTATCAGGGTATGACAATCGATTATATGGTCACGCTGAATTTCCCTATTTGGCATTAAAGCTTGATAATCGATTAGCACAAAGTGATAATCGACTAACAGACTCTGCTAAACTCTGAGCTCAAAAACTGTTCCACTTGATAATCAAATACCACAAGGAGATAATCGATTATCAGACCCCGCTGAGCTTTGAGTTTTGAAACTGGCCAACCTGAGAATCGTTTATCACAAAGTGATAATTGACTATCGGGGGCTGCAGAACCTTGCGTTCAAGAACTGCCAGGCCTGATAATCGATTATCAACATTGGTTAATCGATTATCAGGCAGTCCAAAACCCAACCAAAGGATCATGTTGAGGACTTGTCGTGAGTCCAAAACAAATAAAAAATTTGTAGATAACCTTAATTAACCCCCAAGATAATCAAACAAGAACTATAGCTAGGGCAAGTAAGGGTCGATCCCACAGAGAAAGTTTGTACTGTTGAAATCAAAATAGCATGCACACACATTGTCACTAAACAAAACAAACTAACTACTACACATATGATAAGACGTATAAAACTTATAATAAAACTTATAACTTAATAAATATAAAAACTTATAAATAACTTATATAAAGAATGAACTTATAATATAACTTATAAACTCATAACAAATACTTTAGTATATAAAAGTTAATAAAGTATAAAAGCTTATATTTATAACTTATAAACAAACACTTATAATATAATTTAGAAAATAAAAACACAAAGGAAACAGGGGGTTGAGTAAATATATATTTTTTTGGTTTTTTATTTTCCTAATTTTTTTGGTTTTTGTTTTAAAATGGGGGAAAACAAGCTCAAAAGATAATCAACTTCTCCAACTAAGGTAACCCACAAAACACCGCCAAGAACCCGAAACAAAATAAAAGGAGAACAAACACAAATCAAATATTACACGTATAATTGGCACGTAGACAATACATTACGTAACTTACGCACTTAAAAATAGAAAATAATTCAAAGGCTCAAGTTGAATCATATCATTGACCACATATAGAGGATCATCAACTCTCTATAAGGCCCGGAGTCATGTAATTCAAAAGCCTTTTGGATCACTTTGAACCCCAACTCACCTCAAGCGCTCAAACAATGATTCCAAAAGATGAAAAAGTTTATAAAAGAGCGAATCTTTCTTTCATTCTAACTCCCATGCATAATTTATCCACAAAGAACATTTTATACACATTAATATACTTTAACGTCTATTGATGAAAATATTTTGCAGGTCTCCTTGAACAACATAAGCATAAGAATTCTAGTCTATTCACATAAGAAAACATTACATATTTTCATTAACTTAAAAATTGTTTTCGTCCTTAAACAACTTTAAATTTTAAGAAAATAACATAAAACAGACGAAGACATAAACTATCACTCAATAACGAATTATCGTAGTAATTCTTGGAGTATAAACCTTCCCAGTAAATGGTTAGTTTTATCCCCGAGTTGTCGTTCTCTAGAGGAGTGGACGAAGGTAATTAATTCAACTTCTCTAGTTAGGTGAAAGTTTAGATTGGCTTATGAAGTCTTCTCGGTGCGATAATTAAAAAGAGAGAATAAAAAGAAAAGAAAATTTATTCACATAGTATAAGCAAAGGCTGGACCTAGGGCCAGGACATCATTTAGGTTAACTAAAATAAATTAAATTAATATTTGGAAAAATCGCATTTCTACTACCACTCATCTATTTCTAGATTCGTGATTACCCTAAACTGTTCTTGAATAAATCAGCCTTCCGACGTAAAATATTTTCTCAATAAAAAGTTAATTAAATGTTTCCATATTAATTAGGTTGATAAGGAAAGAGCAGATTTTAGAATAAAAATTCCATCATTAATTTAGTTGATAAAAGTAGAAACCCAAACTAGTCCGGACCCTTGGGGTCTGAACCCTAACTCATACTATGGAAATAATAAACTAGAATAACAGCATTAAATTAAAATAAAGTTTACTTACCGTTTCCGAATAAGCAGAATAACAGCTCAGAGTCTTGAAAAGAGATCTGGGCGGCAATGGCTCCAGAATTCTCTATAAAATAATCCTAAACTAATACGGAGTATTATTTAAGGGAATATTTCGAAATTGGGGTATAAACCCGAAAAAGGGTGCAGAAAAGCTGCTCTGGAATATCTTTTCGGAGAACAGGCGCGTGTCTTTTATAAATACGAACCCGGGCCGTCCAACCCCGGGCGTTCGTGCCAGGCGTCCAAGATCCGGACGCCTCGGCAGGTTAGCCGCTCCGCGTCCGCCACGTGGCCTACTTGGAGCGCACGTTGGCCCGGCCGTCCATAAATCAGGGCGTCCAGGTCTCCGGGCGTCCGACCTGGACGCCTCGGCTTCGGTTCCTTTCGGCGCAAGCACCAGGTCACGCGACCTAGGCAAGATTTTGGGCCCAATTCGTCCCTTTTTGGCCCGGGATGCTCATTTTGACCTTGTAAGGGTCCGTTCTCGACCCGGAGTTGACTATTTTACCTTTTCTCATATATTTAATCATAAAAAGGATGATTTGCACAAATTTTCCTCAAGAACTCTTTTTTTATGACTTTTAGAACAAATTAAAGTATTTTATTCATGAGATGCACTATTTATGAAATGATTAAACATTATTTACGTGCAATAACGCTAAAATATGATAAAAATGATAAGAACGAAACGGACTTATCAATGAATCTTAAGGAAAATATCAAACTTATGGGGCTAAGAAGTCCATAAACCTTAAAATTTTACAAAACATATAACACAACAAAGAATCGCGTATGAATTCCGAAATCATTTAACTATAATATGGATCTAAAATAGATTCAATGAAAACCAAATTTCACATACCAACCTACTTATGAAATCAAATCGTGCGATTCAACCAATCCATCAACAATTTGCACAAAAATCGAAGAAAACTAATATGAATCAATTCTCATTCATAAGGGATTTAATATAAACATTAAAAAAATCCCATAAAAGAACACCAACCATTATATTCAAAATTAACACAAGCAAACAAACAAAAATGTAAAAATTAAACTAAAAATAACACTTTACAAAGAATTGGAGAAGAAAAAGAAACTGACAAATATAGGGTTACCAATTGTTGAGAAAGATGAAGAAAATTGAAGAATTGGAGCGTGAAGGAAAATTGTTGCCCACCATCGCCGTCCGCCGGCGAGCAGTTTCCGCCGCCGTCTGCTTCCTCCTCTGGTGCGCGGCTTCAATTGCAGTTGTCGCGGCCAGGCCGCGGCTCTCTTATTCTCGGTGATTCCTCCCCCCCCTCTTGTTTGTGAGTAGCTGCCTCCCAATTTAGAGCAAGAAGGAGTAATTTATCGTTGAATTACTTCCCGTTGGAGAATTGATTGGCGAACGTTGGAGGAGAGGCCGTTACTTCGCTGTTGCGCGATGAAGAAGAAGATCCGCTGCTCTTCTCACTCTTTTTTCCTTGCGTGAGATCAAAAGAGGTGGGAGGAGGGGAGTATGCTTCTTTTTGTTTATAGGAGGGGAGCCCAAACCCAATCTCTTATTTTTAAATGTGAATCTCAATTCGGCCTTTTGCTGCACATTTCTCTAAAAAATAAAATATCTGATAATTTGGGTTAGGAAAAATAAAAATAATAAACTGTAAAAAGTGATTAAAAAACTACTATTTTTTAAAGAAAATAAAAATTATTTTAAAATAAGAATTAAAATAAAACTAAACTAAAGAACTAAAAATTAAACTCAAAAAATATTAAAAATGCCTAAAAAGAATAAAAAGAACTAAACCAAACTCGACTTATTGTATCACCATGCTAAGAACCAAGGTGTTTCCGGCATAAAACCAATAACGGAATTAAATATACATATATGGATTGTAACTAAGACTTCGTTCAAAATAAGTATTCACATATATCATGCATGTTGTAGACGCATGTTATAGGATCATCCATATCATGGCATAACCGCGTAAGAGGTCAGGCCTAGTGCCCCTCTTTCGCGGGCCCGTCCAGGAGCCCTCGAGGTCCAACGGGTTTCATTCGGAGGGCTTGTGTACATACATGGTAACTAGGATTTCAGTTACCACACACTATTTCTAGTCCTCTTCAGGAGTCTAAGGTTTCCTCGGCTCATCACCGTTGTGGGATGTGAAAGGTAACCACTGTTGGGAGGGCAAGGAAATACAAATATTTAAGCTCCCAATAGTGATTACTAGCCCAAGAACACGTACTAAAACCATAGCTAGAGATAGAAATTTATACCTTTTCCGGTAAAGCGGTATGAACGTGAAGTCGAGCAAAGATGTTGAAGGAGCAAGCGTAGCCGTTCAAACGTCCGGCCTCTAACTTTTACACACGAACAATCTCCGGAGTCTACCCTAACACTTGTGCTAGCAAGTGTTAAAGTAGTATATTAAAATATAAAGATTATTTTAGGGATAATATAAATCTTGTATATTAAATAGTAGAAAATATATCAATAATATTTTAAAGAAAATATTATAACAATTTTCTACACCCCAAATTATTTTAGGACCCAAAAAAAATTCTCTCTCTCCCTTTTCTTCTCTAGGCCGAATGCTTCTCCATGGAGTGAAGAAAAACATGTTATATATTATTAAAGGCATAATGAGGGAAACATCATCAAAAAGCTAAAAACAAAAGTACATCCTTTATCATTAAGTGTAGTGGGAGACAAAGCCCCACACATACACCAAAGTAGCATGTGTACGAAAAAGAGAGAAGGGGGGAGAATTTAATTCTTCTTCTCTCAAATGTTTAAAGTATATTTTATTTGACATCAATAATTTTTATGATATAAAATAAAATACCCAAAACATTTTAAAACAAGTATATAAAATATACTTTAAAATAGTTTTTGTCAAAATAATTATTTTCATAATTAAAATGACATTCCAAAATAAAATGTACACAATATAATATATTTAAAGTAATATATATATATATATATATATATATATATATATATATATATATATATATATATATATATGTATGTATGTACACGTTTTGTACATATTACACACACACACACACACGCTCGTACTAATTAGTATATATGTATATATATGTGTCGTGTACAATGTATATACATACATACATACATATATATATATATATATATATATATATATATATATACACATACATACATACATACATACATATACATACATACATACATACATACATACATATATATATATATATATATATATATATATATCCTTTATTATAATATTTGAGACTCGGGCTCACAGAATGTCGACATGTGGCGGATCTACTTGGCAAGTTTTTTATGAGTCATCCTCCACCTTTGATGACTTTATTGACTTGGCACTTTTATATTAAAATATAGAAAGATCTAATTCTAATTAGTATGCCTAATATATACTTTATAAGGCGACTAAAATATAATTACGAAGTAGAAAAATAAGAAATTAATTATGAGTAATTTTTAAACTTTTTTCTAATGTATTTTGATTAATTATAATGAGTGCAATGTAAAAAAGCACCATAGTTCTTTCTATTATTGATAATATATGTTTAATTTATTTTTTTATGTAAATTAATTATTCCATTGAATAATAATAATAATACGTTTAAGTTAGAACAAATTGAAAAGGTTAAAAAATGAGAAAGACTATTATAGAAGTAAAATATTAAAAAAGTATCAAAATTACTTATTTTGACTTCTACCTCAATACTTCTCCCTCCTAACTATTACTGTCATTTGAGTTTGCTCTCATCTTTTTTTATTGTCTAATCTAACGCCTAACATTTGATAATTTTAAAAATAATTAAAATTTTTATTCTAGGCATTTTTTTAACTAAGAAAATTACAATATCCAAAGTGGACACTTAATCATAATGTTCAATAGAGAGAGAATCATGAGTGTTTCTTTGGTGCGCCTTGAGTGTATATCATTTTTGTGGACCTTCTCACCTAAAAAATATTTTGTTTTATTTTTTTTATTTATAAAAACAAATGCTTAGTAGGTCCACGGTAGACCTTAAGTCCACCATTGAATTTGTCGAGAATCATTAATATGTTTAAAATGAAATTCATAGATTGAAATAAGACTTTCAATGTGTTAAACCAACGAAAATAATTGATATAATTGTATTGTAAAAAAATGTAAAAGGGATTAATTTTAGAATTATTGAAGATATTTTTTGAAAAAATGCATACCCAATGTTGACTACTCAAGTACATTGTTTTTTGGAAAACCTAATATAAATAAATAACCTTAATTATTTTAAGAAAATTATACTACATCCATCCCATAAAACTTTTTAAATAAAAAGAAAGGCATCCCATAAAACTTTTCAAATTAGAAAAAAGGTGCACCCTAAAATCATTTATTCTACACATCATACCTTACCTTATTATAAAGTAAAGGAAAAGTTAGAAAATAATATCAAAATTATACATTTTTAAAGGAGTTCAGTGGTATNTCATTTCCAAATTATAGTTTATCTACTTAATAGATTTCAAAATAATTTCTTGATCGAGAACTTGAACTATGAAAAGGAAAAATTGTCATCTGATTTTAGAGGATATTTATCTACGATGAATGAAGATCAAATAAAGATATCTGATGCGATAATGGAAGTCTGATATGTGAAAGAGGATGTTTCTTTTTTGTCTATGGTTACGGAAGACTTGGAAAAGCATTTATATAGAAACCAATGTCTACTTCTCAAGAACGAATGGTATGTAAGGCTGTTTTGAATGTTGCATCCAGTGGTATTGCAGCATTATTTTTCCTAGTGGGGAAGGACAACACACTTGAGATTCTCAATCCCTCTGGCTTTAACTGAGTTCTCAATGTGTTCTATCAAACAAGGGGGTCCGAAAGCAGAATTAATCTAACAAGCAAGTGGAATCGTGTGAGATGAAGCATGTGTGATGAATAGATTTGCTTTTGAGGCATCGGATCACACAATGAGAGATATAATGAGGTTGTATAATAATAACTCTAGAAATAAACCATTCAGAGGGAAAATATTAGTACTCAGCACAAGTGATTTTTGCCAGATCCTTCCAATTTTACCAGAGTTTCGAGAGAGGAAATTGTAGGTGCTACCGTGAATTTCTCAAAATTGTGATTGTATTGTAAAGTTTTTACATTCACCAAGAATATGATATTGCATTCATCTATGTCCTCTAACGCGGATAGGGATACACAAGCTTTTTCTGATTGGAGATGGAAAGCTTGGTCAGGTGATTGATGGAATTGATGACGTTGAATTCCGCCCGGATTCTTGATTCTTGACATAAGTTATCCTCTCAAGAGTATAGTATTGAAATTCACTTATCTGAACTTATTGGAGAATATGAAAAAATATTCTTTTTTAGGATAGGGCACCATTAGCACCCACTCTCGAAGTTGTTGAAATGGTAAATTAGTTTGTCCTATTCATCATTCTCGCTGATGAAAAAAGAGTACTTGAGTTATGATTCTTAATGGCAAGCAGATGCCAATGTAGGTGTTGATGCTTATTGGATAACATTTGAATTTTTGAATTAAATCAAATGTTCAAATGTTCGGGGATTCCAAACCAAAAAATACTTTTGAAAAAAAGGGTACTAATTATGTTATTTGGATTGTGTAATAGTACAAGATTAATTGTTGAAGAGATGTGAAAAAATGTTAACCGTGCAATCGTGGTTTTGAGAAATTGAGACACGGAAAAGGTTTACATACCTCGAATAAATTTGGTACCATATGATCCAAGACTACCCCCTCAAGTTTCAAAAAAGACAATTCCCAATAGTTTAATGTTTTGCTATGACTATTAACTAAAGTTAAGGTGAAACATTATTTTTTGTTAGATTATCTTAACTAGGTTAGTATTCACTTATGGCCAATTTTATGTTGTTACTTCACAAGTGAAGATAAATATATGATTAAAAATATTTAGTTTAGATGACAATAGAAACCCTTTCAACCATACCAAAAATATTGTATACTCTGAAGTTTTTCATAAAATTTGAATTTTAACAAGTCTTTGTTTCGTATACTTTCAATTCTTAAAATTTAAAATATTATTTATTCTACTTTGACCTTGATGTATGTAGTATTAAAAATAATGTAATAAATTTATTTTCTTTAATCCGCAAAAAATATTACATGAAAAAATAAGAATCGACAAAAAATTCGTTCGGTCCCGTGCAAGGCACGGGTCAAAACACTAGTATATATATAGGATTGACTCCAGTTAGATGACACCTTACGGTGAGATGACATCCTAGACGCAAAGCTCACCACTGCCAACTGCAAAGCTCACCAAGGACAACTACAAAACTCACTAAATTGTAAAGCAAAGCTCACCATATTTTTTCAACACTTTGATTTTTTTTTGAAAAAATAATATCAAAGAAAGGGGTGCTGACTGGACTTTGACCGTTGACCAGGACCTTTGACCGGCACCTTCCACCGCCGGACACCGCTGGCCACCGGAATCCGCCACCGGCCGCTGGAATCTGCCGCCACCGCCGGTCACCGAAATCCGCCGCCAGCCGCCGCCGGTCACCAAAAACTGCCGCCTACCGCCGCCGGAATCTGCCGCCGCCCCGCCGCCGGTCGCTGGCAACCGCCGCCGCTGACCAGTGGTTGACCGATGTTGCTATTTTATTTTTTATTAATTTTAAATATTTAAAATTAAAAAAAAGGTGAGTTTTGGTGTTCAAAGTGGTGAGCTTTACTTTATTTCTAGGTGAGCTTTGCATTGTCCATTGGTGAGCTTTGTAGTGTAGTGTGGTGAGCTTTGCGTCATCTCACCGAAGCATGTCATCTCACCATAATATGTCATCTCACTTGAGTCAATCCCTATATATATATATATATATATATATATATATATATATCTGTGTGTGTGTGTGTCTATATATATATATATATATATATATATCATATTAAACATTTTACTTTACTATTTTACAATATACAAATTAAATATTATCCCATCTTATAATCCTACTCTTTAAATTGTTCAAAGTGTGTGACCCATATAGGCACTTATAAAACTGTCCACAGTATTGACTCTACACCAATACTATAAGTAATAAGCGGTATCTAGCAACACATTATTACCCCCAGATTATAAGTTCAGATGTTTGCTCCGTCAAAACCTTTCTACAACTAAGACTTTGTATAACATAGATCTTTTTGTCCCAATGTCTTAACTTAGTGCAAGGGATATAATATAGCCAACTTGTAGCCATTAAGTTATTTACTGATTAACAAGTATGATTGATGAGAACAGATGTCTAAACTCATATCAGCATTGCCATGCATTTCCTTAGTCATACTTATCAATGGGCCTCTACAAGACATTATTCTGCTTAAGTAGCAGTGACAAATTCTTTGTACATAATCTACGTGTTCGAATACGTGCAGCGGCATGCCCAATACAAAGCCTGTGTACCATCCTTATTTCATACGACTTAGCACAATGAATCAAAGCATACGGGTTCACGCATTCGAAGAACATAATACTTCAAGTTTAAGGATCGTTATACCAATAGTCGCATTAAGGACACTTAGAGCACA